GAAAATTCACACACAAGCTGCTATGTAGGTTTAAATTTGTCCAAATGGAATGTTTTTATCGGTTAGTGTACAGGTGAGCTGGTACCCAGTACCTAAGAATTCCTCAACTTATTCGCCATATGCATTATCTATTTCCCGCATACGCGCCCAGCAAGGGCAAAACTTGTGGCCTCTGGGAATTGATGAACGAAGCAATATCCAAAGGATATCACTTTTGTAAACCAGCTGGCAATAAGACAAAGGCAATTATTAGAAACTATCAAAATAGTGCGTTAGAGGTACGTCCGATTATCACGTTCTCATCGCTCGTTGTTGCTTTATGGTCCTAGAATAGTATCAACAAAAAAGTTTTTCCCTGCAGCACTTTCCCCCAACACACCATTTTCACTGTAGATCTAGATCGTTGGATTTGTAGTAAATGGATAAGATTAATATATACTATCTCCTATCCTTAATATAAAAATTGATTAATTCGAGTATATTAAGGAGGTTTGTTAAGTTGGTTATTTGTAATAACTATGTATTGTCTTTCATAAAATACCCTTACTAACCAAATGTATATATTTGCTTTAATATTTGATGAAACTTTTTAATATGTGCAACTACTATAAAGACTACTTTAAAAAAATAAATAAATATGAAAGATAAAGTAGACTGAGATATATTTATGATCAAATTAAAAGTTAAATCAGCTCTTATATTAAAAACCAGAAATAGTATTTTATAAAAAAAATAGTAGTTACGTTTGAATTGCTAACTGCAAATTTGATGGTTGATTCACGATGAATGTGAAGTGAATGGAAATCGTAGTTGAGACAATCAGTGACTAATTAAGCTTCGTCCTTCATAACGAATAGCTATAAATAGATCTTCCATTCCTCAAGATTTTCTTGCATAGGATTAGGATCAATCTAGCTACTAGAAGGCATACCAGGAAACGTTGTCTTGGATGGATTGATTTTGACATTGAAGGCAGTGAAAACTCGTACCATATGTGATGTTCTCGTGAAAGAGCTTTACGCATACACCCAAAATAAGACTCACCTATTAGCGGCACCACATTGTGACCACATTCTGAAATATTTATAACTCTGAATAACTATGGGTGAGATTATAAGCACACTACTAATTAGCTAGAGGGCAATAAGTCGCTAGATTATAATTTAGAAGATTCCTTCAATAGTGCACATTATGATGCCTTTTCAAGCCTCATAAAACTACATCCACACAATTACCTCAGACATGCATGAGTTTTCTATTTGCCACATCAAATATTACGCACACAAGGTACAGGCATATGGAAACCATGCAATATCCGACCAATTAATTCTTCTTTGAAAAGCATTGCTACCTACAAATGCAGTATAACAAGAAGCAATAATTATGGGGAAAAAAAACCAATTCACACTAATGAGAGGAACCGAACTAAACATAGCAAGCATCCAGGCATGGTCCTCTAGCCAGTTGCTGTTATGTTCCCTGTGTCACATGTTAATCTTCTATCTCACGCGATACTCTCTTATGATATGGGGAATAGGATCAATCTAGCTACCACGTATCCAAAGGTTCTTTAGTCACGGCTAAAACTGAAGACTAAAACATGGAAAAGAATTTATTTGATGTTAAATGACCCTAGCCCTAGCCCTTTATAAATAGGTTGTTTCTGTTGCCTGTTCTAAAAAAAAAAAAAAGGAACATTATCTTTGCTCCAATCACTCCGCATTCATGGTTTCCAATATATACATAGGTTCCATCCTCCTTCTTTGTCCTTACTGCTGTCTCACTTCAGCTCTGCCAAGGAACTAGGAATTGTCGCGTGCTGGGGCCAGAATGTGCGTGAACGAGAGTTGGATGAAGCATGTGCCACCGGGAATTACGAGAAAGTAAACATAGCATTCCTCTGCATCTTCGGCAATGGACAAACTCCAGACATAAACCTGTCGGGACATTGTTCTGAATGCTGGGGTGCCCCTTGCACTAAATATGCCTCCCAAATAGCTTACTGCCAAAGCAAAGACGTCAAAATCTTCCTTTCTCTCAGAGGAGACTCCCGGAGATATTCACTTTCTTCAGGTCAAGACGCCAAACGAGTTGCAGACTACCTCTGGACCAACTTTCTCGGTGGCCATCAGAATAATTCAGAAGGCCTGCTAGGAAACACGGTTTAGATGATATCGCCTTGGGCATCAAACAAGGTGGAACCTGTTATCATGATGATCTTGCCAAGGAGCTTGACTCCTACTGAAAGGTAAAAGATTTTCACCAATCAGCCTCACCAAAATGTGCAATCCCAGATCCATACTTGGACTCAGCCATTGAAACTGCACTCTTCGACCATGTGTGAGTTCTGTTCTACAATAACCCTTCGTGCCAATATTCTCCTTGGAATACTCAGAACCTTATGCACTCGTGGACTGACTTCCCCATCTCCAAGTTATATATTGGCCTGCCGGCATATCCGGCGAAGACTGGCAGGGCTGGTGGCTATATCCCAGCAGACGGGCTAAACCATAAGATTCTTCCACGCATAAAAAGCTCTCCCAATTACGGTGGTGTTATGCTATGGAGCAGGTACTATGATATATATATATATATATATATATATAGATTCTGCGTATAGCGGTAAGATCAAATCGGGTACTACTGTTGGAGCGTTCAATCATGTTGCCAAGATCTAATCAACCTCAAGAGTGCTGTGTTGCCTTTTATCGCTGTCCTATAGCTAGTGTGACTGCAACTTTTCTAGCCACCATCATGTATGGAATAAGCTGTAGGAGGCAAAGTGCCTTCGGTCCTTAAGTGACGACTTGATTATGCTCAAATTATCATTATGAATGCAACTTTAATCATATGTAGCATGTACCAGTCTTCTTTTATATATATAAATTTTTATTTAATTTTTTTTGGTTTCTCCTTCATTAAATTTAGATGTCAAAACTGAAAATAAAGGGAAAAATTTTTAAATGTAACAGTTATTTAGTATTCACATGTATTAATACAATGACTGATACAGAAAGATGAAGCCAAAAGAAAAAAAAAAAAAAAGTTCCATATGCATACTCATATCACACATAAATTTAATGTGCAGAAGGATGCTGCCAAAAAAAAGGTTTCACATGCATCCTCATTGCTGTCACCTCACACATACATTTCCCAACCTATAGTGTATATTGATTGTCTTGCTTGCGTGCCTCAATATTTTTAAATGGTATTTACACGTTAGGCAGTCATGTTATTTATGTTATCCTTTGAATGAATGTATAGATATACAAAATTTAATTTAGCAAAATGATAAGGATGATGCTTCTCTCACACACACACACTTCGCAGGACCATGATAGAAATCTGAATTTTTATATTTTATAGAAATAACTATATATGACATATTTTTAAGAGATGAAAAAAATAATATGAAAATGAAATAATTATATAATCTATATAAAAATTAATTTAATGCTTCAACCTGATGAAGAAGAGAACACTATATATTAAAACCAAATATTATATATATTCCTCAAAATTAAAAATTCGGGGTAACTATTCCTTTATTAATACTCGATGTGCGAAGCAATTATTAAAAATGTGATGTGATGGAAGGACTAGAGATAAACTTAATCAACAAGGTATGCGATTATGACGTTTGAACTTTTAATATTCCATGATTAATAATCACCTGTGTGTAGTACCATTATATTTCTTACATCATGAATTTAAACGTGCTAATGTGCTATACATATAATTCCATTTCTCCACATCATCATCAGCTGGCAATCGTGTCGTTTTCTTTTGTTTTATTAGAGATATAATTCCATTCTTTCCTTTTCCCTTCCCATTTTTTTTGCTCTTCCTCTTTTTCTAATCATAAAATCAATGTTTAAATGGTTTAGATTTTATTTCCCTACAAATTAAAATGTTTTTTTAATCTTTTTAATGCAACTATTCATATCAAATTTTAGTAGCATAAATTTAATTATTTGTTTTTATTTTATAATTTAACATTTGGATAATAATTTGAATTATATAACACATTCATTACAAAATATGTGTACCGAATCGATGAGCATTGTTAAATTGGATGTAATGCTTGGCTTATCATCATTTAGCAAGTGCACCGCAAAAAGTGATCATTACGCACATGATATCTTTTTTTTTTAATTATTGTTGGTTCTCTTTAAATATGTCCTTAATTAAATAGAGATATTTTTTAAAAGATCACTTCTTAAAGTTGAAAACACTTATAAAGTAGGAGAAGTTTTCTTAAAAAATATTGTAAAATATCGTAAAATTCCAAACTATATAGTATAAAAAAGAGACATAAACTTCTTGAAAAAAATGATGTATCTAGAAGCGTAGGAAGACCAAAGATGGACGATCGTGGTTACCTAGCTAGTGGTTACATAGCTTGGGGGGTCCTTGAAGAAAATGGCTACAAAATTCAACATTCACAGCACGTGCTACGTAAAAGTCTTAATATTCTTATAGGGAATAGGATCAATTTAGTTTAATCAATGATGCATTTCCTTGCTTCAACATGAGTTAAAAATAATAGAATTTGACGCTAATGACCCTAGCCCTAGCTAGCCCATTATTATAAATTGGTCGTTTCTGTTGTTCCTGCTAAAACAAGAAAGCACATTGCCTTTGGCTTCTCTCAACCTTTACTTTCATGTCTTCCAAAACACAAGCTCTAGTCCTCCTCCTTTCGCCCTTATTGCTGCTCTCTCACTTGAGCTCATCCCAAGGCTGCCCAGTTGTTACCTACTGGGGACAGAATGTGAATGAAGGAGAGTTGAGCACAGCATGCGACACCGGAAAGTACGAGATCATCAACATAGCATTCATGAACACATTCGGCAATGGGCAAACTCCAAATATAGACCTCTCAGGACATTGTTCTGGGTCTTGGGTTGTCCCTTGCACTAAATATGCCTCCCAAATAGCCTATTGCTAAGGCCTAGGCATCAAAATCTTCCTTCCTCTCGGAGGAGCCTCTGGTCAATATGGCCTTTCTTCAGCTCAAGACGCCCAGGAGTTTGCACAACACCTCTGGACCTACTACCTCAGTTGGCCAAAGCCCAGGTCTCCTCGTAAACGTGACCTTAGATGGCATTGATTTTGACATCGAAGCTGGTTCAAACTTGTACTGGGATGTCCTTCTTAAAGATCTTTACACTTACAAGGAAGTAAATACCTTCTATTTATCAGCAGCGCCACAATGCCCAATCCCAGATTACTACTTAGACACCGCCATCAGAACTGGCCTGTTCGACTACACCTGGGTCCAGTTCTACAACAACCCTCCCTGCGAATACACAGATGATGGAGATACTCAGAAACTCATAAGTTCATGGAACCAGTGGACGACCGCCTTCAACGCCACCAAGTTCTATGTCGGCCTCCCGGCGTCTCCCGCTGCAAACGGTAGTGCCGGTGGTTATGTCCCGATCGATGTGCTCAACAAGGAGATTCTTCCGCTGGTGGAAACCTCTCCCAAGTTTGGTGGGGTTATGTTATGGAGCAGGTACTACAATTATCTATCTGGGTACAGCGGTAAAATCAACTGTACTGCCTCTGCAGCTCTTAAGGTTGTCCGTGCGCCGTTGGTTGCCCTGATGAAATCTGTGTCGGAGGTTCTGTATCGCCTTTTATCGCAGTACTAGACTGTTACTCCAGCCTCTCTAGCCACTATGTCATGTATGGAATCAATTGTCAGAGGCTAGTGCCTTTCTTCCTTGTTAAGTGATGAAAGCCTGATTCTAGTCAGGTTATCATCGATAAGAAATAAAACCTTTAATCAGTACGTGATACTGTTCTTTTAAGGTTTTACTAGTTTTTGTTTCTTGTTCATTTTGACAATGGTTGCGGTCGTATCCGTCTGGTGCGTGCAGCTGGCACAGCTAATTAAAACAAATCAACTTGTACCCATAACTCAGCGACGACATTACTTATTATTTAATTAATTAGGCCCCAGCCCGTTCTAATATTCTGGTACTAATATTAAAATACAAGCCAAGAATGTCTGGCTAGCTAGCTTCGCCTTTAACATGAGACACATATAAACGTCCTTCTACCTCGCGAGATTTTCTTCTATAGGGAATAGAATCAATCATAGGTTCTTTGGTCCATAGCTACGTTATAAGAAGTAAAATTTCAAGATAATACTCCTCTTACTTTGTGGAAAATATATCGACGTTAATGTGACCGCCGTCCAAGGCCATAGTTAGCTGGTACTCCTTCGCTCACAACTTCTTCCTATTTTCCAATAATCTTTGGTGTTTTTCTTTTTTGGCTATGTCCATAAATTATTTTTATCAATAATGCAACCATATTCATATTTGTACTTCATAGTATTTATCTATATTTTTTCTTGATTAAAATATTTTAAATTTTAATATAGATTTGTCTCTAAAAATGCGTGATGATCTATCATACCTTGAAAGAACATATTAAAACATTTTTCTGTTTTAGTTGATATTTGTTTTTTTTTTTTTGGTTAATGTCCATAATTTTTTTTTTTGCCGATATATGGACAAATATTTCACATATTTGTACTTCAAATTATTTATTTATATTTTCTCTAAGGACATGCATGTGTTAAATTGTAGTTTAAATTTACCTTTAAAAACTGCTCGACGAGCATATATTTTGGAGAAGCTCAAAACCTTTTTCTTTTTTCATTGGTCTTTGACGATTTCTTAAATCCTCTCTCTCTCTCCCCCTCTCTCTCTCACACACACAATTTGTTCATTCCAACGCTCTATATGAAAATTAATATTCCATTATGGCTTCACTTTTTCTTCTTGGTTTAAGATCTCAGCAGCCAGGCTTTAAAAGTACCAACGCGTGGTCGTATGCAAAAATAGTTTCGGACACTTACAATATGTGTTCCTTTTATCTATACATAGAGGCATATATATTCCGGACAACAAGATGGATCTTTTACAATGCTTTGAGGTACAATAGAACGTAGCTGTTTATTATTACTTACAATATTTTTCAGCTTTATATTAAAATATCCATAAGCCAATCCGCAGTTGCCATGCATAATATTTTTGTATATATTCTCGTTGCTAGAGACAATAAGTAAGAATCAAGAATCAACTAAGAGATAATTACAACTAAGATATGTACAAGGCATTTGCGTGCATCGTCACGCGTCATATTGTGGAAAAGAGGGGGAAAAAAGAAGAAGGAAATTTGACGTGGAAAACCCTAGCCCTAGTCCATTATTTTCATATGTGAGAGTTCTCGTCGTTGCACTTTAATATTATTCTAAGATGCTTCCGACAAAATGGCCTAATTTTTCGACAAGGGAAATTATCAACTAGAAAAAAACAAGTCGCATTAGAGGGGAATCGAAATTTCACCCTCGCATGGTCCCAGGATTAATGGCGACAAAGCCTCGCGTGTGACTCGAGGCGCCACGTATATAATTAATTAATTTGATATCTTTACATATCTCTCATACCTACTTCACACAGTACCCAATTCTTTCTAATAACGGATCCAGTTTTAATACTATTTTTTGTCTTAATTATAATATCTTATTTATAGATTATAAATGATCTCTTATAATTAAGGGTGAAAGTAATATATTAGATTGTGGTCAAGTTGTAACAACAGAAGATGGCCGAGCTTGTACGTCTACCTCTAGGCAAACTTTAATAGATAATAGAGTAAAACTACAGTTGCTTGACTATGACTAGTGGAATAAACCAATGATGACATCAATTTTTATGTTTATGATTTGAGTTGAGTGATTCCTATAATTTTTTGGGACAAAAAATTGTTATTTTATTGATATGAAAAATTATCACTCGCAATAGTATTGAACTGTCAAGGGCCTCTTTTAAACTCGAGCTCATCAAGGGCCAGTCCATTTGATGTATGTCTTAACCATTTTGATAATTATATTTGTCCATTTTTTTAGCTAGTACATAAGTTGCGTTCTTTCACCCACTGTTTAGGCTATATTATTGGTGTGGTTTTATGCTTTAATGACCCAAGCCCTAGTCCATTATTTTCATATGTACTGTGAAAATTCTCATAATGTATACTCTGTTTTTCTAAGATGCTTCCTATAAGATGACCACATTTTTTTGACAAAAGAGATTATTAACTAGAAAACAACCAAATCACTTCAGGCAGATACCGAAATTTCACGTACGACCGACGACTTTGTTCCCTATCTTGCTCTTAGCGTTTGACCCGTACGTGCCTGCCACATGTATATAGATAATTAATTCGATAGCAAATCCTTGCATCTCCACCCAATCCCTCTACACAGACCCCAACTCCTGCTAATAATCTGATTTTAATATTAGATTTTGCTCAAGTCGTGACAACAGAAATAATGAAATACAGGCCAAGCTTGGACACGTCTATCTAGGGTATGCTTGGGATAGCAGTGGCAGAAGTAATTTTTTTTTTTCAATTTGACTTTTACAGAAGTCAGATTATGTAATGTAATTTATCTTTGGATTGGGTTTTGTGAAAAAGTCAGTTTAAGGCCCCGTTTAGGTGACACCCCAAACCATGGTTTGGGTGATAAGTCACCCAAACAGTCACTGGTTTTGGGCAAACCGTGGTTTTGGAAAAAGCAGAAATTTTTTGCTTTTGGAGAAAAAAGGGAAAGTGTGAGAGCTTATAGGATATGTATCTTGTTATTTTTTTTATAAATATATTTTTTTATAAACATATTTAATCTTATATTTTAAATATATATATACATATTAATTATTTATTAATTATATTATCTTATGTATATTAATTATGTTAATAAAAAATATATTATTAACAATTTTATTCCTTCAAATTAAAATATATCATAAAATCTATTTTTTCTATAATTATCATATTAACTTATGTCTTTTTTTTAGTAATTTGTATATATAAAAAGTGCTTCTGATAACAACTATCCAAACACTCTCACTTCTCAAAATCACTTTTTTTATAACATTTATTTTTTCCAGAATCTATTCTTCCCAGAATCTATTCTCTAGAATCACTTTTCCAAACCACGGTTTGGTTTTATCCAAACACACCCTAAGAAGCTGAAACTTGTTTGGATGATAAATGTAAAAGTAAGTTTAAATGCAAAATGACTTAAAAGGATATGGATTTTATTAAATAGTACATATCTAATATTATATATATATATATATATATATAATGTGACTATTTTAAAAGAGGTGAGGAAAATAAAATTATTAAAAGTAAAAAAATTTAATTTATTATTAGAAAGAAATTATACATATAATGTGACTATTTCAAAAGAGGTAAGGAAAATAAAATTATTAAAAGTAAACTCTCCAAATTAAATTTTATTAGTTAATTTTTTTCATATAATGTTTTTATAAACATAAAATTATTGAATTAAGTGGGACCATTTAAATACCCTTTTAATTTCTTTTTTCATCTTTATTTTTGTCTCTCTATGTTTCTCTCTCCATGTTGCGGCTAAGAAGCAACAATTTTGAGCTTCTCATTCAATATGACTTTTCCATGAAAAGCTCATCTCTTCCACTGTGATCCCAAACAATAATTTTTAAGCTAAAGTGCGTTTCAGCCTTTAGATGGGCGTTTGGGATTAGAGTTGGTAAAATGGGTTGCACCCGCAGGTCCAACCTGCCAACCCGCCAAACATAACGGGTTAGTGTTGGCTAGAAGCTAACCTTCCAGTAAACGAGTCTTTTGAACATGTCCTGTCAAGCTCGCAACCTGCTACGAGTTAACCTCCCAACCCGCGGGCTAACCCACATTTATTTTTTTAATTTTTTCAAAATTTTTAATTATTATAATTATATTATTATATATTATATTCTATCTTTAAAAAAATACCTATATAATTTATTTGGTGCTTTCAATCAAAGATTTCAAGGAAAAACAAAAATTTTATTATTATTTTTGGATGTCATATAAGAAAAAAATACTAAAAAGTTAAAAAAAAATTCACACACAAAAAGTGTTGGCGGGTCCCATCTTAGCGGGTTAGGGTTGGCTAAAAGCCAACCCGCCTTCAAATGGGTTGCTTCAGCCCAACCTATATAGATTTAACCCGTGACGAGCAAACTCACAACCCACGGGTTAGCCCATATTGCCAGCCCTATTTGGGATGGTCTAACGCGTGACAACAATGTTTCTATCAAATCCCAAGTGCTAATAATACCGTGTTATTTCCAATATTGGATTATTTAAATCAGATGCGCCTCAATATCAATAAGGGAATTACTACAGGGTCTCAAAAAAGTTAATTATAAAAAAATATTAATGATAAGTAAGTAGTTATCATTTTCTACATCAAAACTTGTTATTATAAGCTGCTATGCATTTATTATGACTTTTTAATAATTATGTTATTTGCTTAGAAGTCCATAGCAATTCTCTCAATATTAATTCATAGTAGGTTAATGACTCCATCTTTTTTTATTTTGAATTTTTATTCTATCGTAACCATGCTTTTGTGACCGCTAAATTTTTATTTTCAACATAAGCCTTGTGGCCGTTATATATTCCATCACTAATTTTCCAAGAAGCTTCGCGGCCATATTAGATTATATTAGACTAAAATGAGTGATCACGAAGCTGCAATGATCTTACCTTTACGTGGTATATATATTTAATCTGTAAGTTAAAGTTTCACTTTAAATAAATTATAATT